TGAAAAAACTCCTAAGGCATGGCTCATTATTCAAAATGGAATGTCATTTGTGATTTTTAGGAGAAAAACTGTCACTCTTTAGGAGAAAAAACTGTTGCTCTTTAGGAGAAAAATTGTCATTTAATCCTTGGAGAAAGAATCACATATTCAACCTAAGTACTGGTATACGTCACGACACCTTCACCATTGCGAGCGCCAAATCCATTCGAATGTATAATTTAACGCTTTTGTGTGAAGGGTCATTGGAGATAATTGTCATTCGTGAAAAGCTTGCTGTAGAGTTGAGGTACCACGCTGCGCCTAGAGAAAATGTTCAATTAACTCGCTAGCAAAATGTCAAATTAGGTCTATTCTCACTCTCAATAAAATTGCCTCTAAATTGGAAAAAGAGTCCGAGAGAGCGAGCATTTTTGGGGCTGCAGATATGAAAAATTCGGCAGCGTAATGTTTACTTTGAGGTCGGCTGCGTGCACCAAGTCGACGCGTTTCAGTATGCGTCCACTTCACAAAGAGAGCCAATGAACTGTTGGGGCGCAACAGCCGGCTGGCCCTGATTGGACACTGGTCGGCCAATCAGGTTGCGCACACGCCGCTGCAGAGGCCATAATCCCCTATTTAAACGACACCGAGGCCCGACGCAGCATTCTCAAGAAGTCAAGATGAGAACGACATTCGCAGCTCTCTTCCTGGCGTTCGTGTTAGCGGAATGTCAAATGCCGGGCGGGTGGCGACCACTCTCGCAGGTAGAGATGAACAGTGAGACCTTCAGGGAAGCAGTGACGGCTAGTCTGGAGGAGCTAGGAGACGAATCCCGCGGATGTTGCAGCTACTTTCTGCAGAAAGTTTTGAGTGGCACACAACAGACTGTTGCAGGTGTCCGCTATGAGTGGTTCATGAAAGTTTATCCAGTTCTACTGTCGAGCAACAGAGGATGTGCTGAAGTGTGCAATGCGGCCTCTGAGGAAACCCCAACGTATTCGGCTTCAGCCTGGGTGAAACCATATGCTGACCCGAAGAAAGTTGAAGTCAGCGTAAGGCAGGTGTAACTTCCAATCTTTGTGATCAGGCTGAGGGTTGGTGTTTTTGTTTAACATTTTACCTGGCCGTCCATCACAGCTCTTGAGTATCTCTGTTGTCCTGTTCAATAAATCCAATTGGGTATTTTGGTTTCACCTGGCCTTACTTCCTGAACTACTTCTGAATCACATTTTTGAACACCTTCAGTATGAGTATCAATTTATTGAGGGAAAGATAGGCGGACGCCTTTGAAGTCCCCATTGGTAACAAGGTGATAGGAAATGTGTGGATACAAAGAAAAGTTTTAAAAGACTTGGCTGTTATTGGGTAGTCGAAAAAGCAACAAAACATGCATACTCGCTCATCACGGGTAATATAATGTAATTTAGAGTCTCTTGGTTACCTGGTGGACGTGAAGTGATATTTTTGATGCATTTCCAGTCCGCTCTTAAATGAATTTACACAGACGGAGAGGATAATACCTTCGGGATGGGCATTCCACGCTGCAGCTACTCCGTTGCTGAAGAAGAATATTCGTCCATCGATCCTTGCTTTGCCAGGGCGTAGTTTAAGGGTATGACAGCGCAAGCTTGGCGTAATAGCCTGGATAAAGAAATTGCTTAGGACAGAGCAACAATCCAGGTTATTCATAATACGAGATGTAAGTACGAGGTCCACTTGAAGTTGCCTGCAAGAAAGGAGAGGCCATTGAGCGCTAGATAAAAGTCGCATTTTATAGGGTGCTATGGTTTCCGGGGTACTTGGGCATAAATGTCCGTAAAAAACTCGCTACGTAAGAGCGGATCATGTAATCCGCTATTTAAGAGGGTTCCGTTCTGGAGATCTTTGCGTTCAGAGTCCGTCCAACTACTTCACAATTACGGCATGTCTGCAGCGTACTCTGAGCTATGCCTACAGGCTTATGATAATCACAGCCTTTTTAAAGCATTCTTTCCCAGGTACGAATTTAAAGCACGCTTTTACAGCAGGATATATTGATAAAAAAAAACTTCGATACAAATGACAGGACCGCTGGGAATTTACCTAATTGACTCTTAAAGGAAAAAAACCAAAGTACCGCGGTCATATATTACGGAACATCTACTACACAGTGGTCAGTCTGTTGACCTTAAAGCATCCTTTCGAGGACTTGCTCCAGCACGAACAACTTGGATCTTGCGATACATGGGAGCAGCCTATAAACAGCGGGAGAACCCTGACCTACAGTATTGCGAGTCCTGCATTTAACTTTCATGATGAAATTTAACTTGGTAGTTTAGCATATATTTGGACAGTTTATTTTGATTAACTTAGTGGATTTATTAATTAGTAAGGCTTTAGTTTCGAAAACTGTCCTCTCAGTTAAAGATATGGAGCGAAATAGGCACTACTTTTGGCTTGATCATGAGTACGTTTAAATCGAAGAAATTTTCTATTCCATAGTGTACGGCAGAACTAAACTTTTTATTAATATGCATTGTGCAAAGAAAGAATTCCAGAATAAGTAAAAAATGCTGAAAAATTATCCAGTCCAAAACTGGAAAATTTTGTCGGCAGCTGTTCAGATGGAAGTTTAGCCAAGTTACAGGAATCGTATTTAGTTTCACAAACCAGCAACAATTTAAATTTTAAAAATTAATTTTAGCTGGCCTGTCAGGTTTTTGCCCAAAATGAAGTAACAAATATTTTTCGTCGCATTTTGTTTAACCGCACCGCTGACCTTGGCGAGTAGGCAAAGTGTCAGCATATGTTGCCGCGAAGCTAATGTAAAGAAGACCCTATTGAATGAAACTCATGTAGAAATTTACTTTTCATAAATTATACATCCCGCTTATGTGTTATTTAGAAATGGAACAGACAGACGAATAGTAAGTAGTTTAAAAGATGGCCATATATGACAAGTCTTTTTCTCGCATTCGCAAGCTTATAACAGATCGTGGAATTAATCCACTTAGGCGGAAAATAATCCACTAGAAAGGAGAAAGCAGTTTCATTCCCAGTCGGATATAATCGTTTATCTTCTGGAAGATTAAAAATTTGTCAAACTTTCCAATTTCATTGTGACATTACCTTGGAAAAAAGTAATTCACACAGACATTCTTCAGCTGAATATCTAATAAAAACACTTTTTAAAGAAGTAATCTAGGGAAGAACGATTTTTATATATCTTGGAAATAGCGGTATCAGAATTCCGTTGCGGACATTATTTTATTCTCGACGATGTGGTTTGCTGTTTTGAAGCATTTCTATATATGATCAACATGGCCATCTTCACAAAAATAAATATCCAAAACACATTTTTTCGGAAAATGCTGTTTATGTATATCTTATTTTAAGGATTTTGAATTAAACGTCGAAAAGAAGCGTAATTTATGAATTAGCGCATGAAGGCACTGAAAACGATGGAAATCATGCCAGGATTTATTGGACGATAATCAATAAGTAGTTATCCACTAATGGTTATATGTATAAAATAGATTGACTAAAGAAAAGTTCTTTTTATATAAAGAAATTGGCTACGTTCTGTTTTCAACTTACGAAAAGATGCGAATTTATAGCTTTTTTTACGTTTCCTGAACTTGGGCATTGTCGGGAAAATGTTATTTTTATAAAAAAAACTCAATTATTCTTATATTTTTAAGTACTCGATGTCCTTAATGCTGCTTATTTTTATCTCTAAGTTTACGTGGCAGGGATCTTGAGAGTGGTGCTCGATAGGCCAACATGTACAATAACCGCTTACTTATAAATTTTAAGTAGGTTGAATTTTCCACAATCTCCCAACTTTTGGGACGCCGGCCGATGGTACAGTGGAGATTGAATGATGCTATTGAACTGTTGGGGGTCCTCGGAAGGCCACTATATACAATGACCGCTTAAGACAGTTCATTGTGTAAAATGGCTTTTCAAGTTAACCATAGGAATAACCGCTTGCTTACAAATTTTAAGTAGGGTAAATTTCCAAAATCTTCTAAAATTGTGCATGCATCACTCGCCATAATATATATAAGCAGGTTAGTCATCAAGCTAATCCCCAACTGCTCTGGTAATCGCAGGCCTAGATTTAATCTACCTTTGATTTTTGTTAATGCTCGTCCCCACTTGTTCTTCCTCTATCTCAATTCTAGGGCAACATTATCATTGATTATTTGCCGCGTTGAACAATGTCCCTGCTGTAGTGTTTTCATACTCCGCAATTCAAATTTTTTTTGTACCCCACTCATTTTCTATTTCATCTAGTAGTTGAAAAAGCTGTCTCGAATTTTGTTTGTACAAATTAATCCCGCTGTATACGCTTGCTGTAAAGCACCACAGGATTGATACGTGGGCAAGAATGATTATAGAGGCCGCAAAAAGCCCGTCGATTTATAATACAAAACTACTTTCAAATGTAGCCTGACTTTAAATTTTTTCGTTATACTTCGCCAATAGGAGGACGAATTCCAATTTTCGTTAAACTCCACCTACACCAGGTCAAATTTCCCCCGATCAGCATTCGTATTCTACACAATAGGAATTTATGTTGATTGAATTTGATTGTATTAAGCATATTAAAACAAATTTAATCTTATTTAATTTATTATTTTTTGATCAATTTCGCCACAAGTACATATTAATTTACGGTCACAAGCCAAGAATTAAATGTTTGACCACAAAATAATTTTAGCAGTTGAGCAGGAGGAATAGATATCTAGGGGGCCCTACGAATAATTTTTGCCGACAAGCGTTATTTCGCAATGCTGCTAGAACATCATTAGAAAACACATATGAAAACACAACCTACTAGTGAACGTCGTATACTCGACCGTGCATAAATTTGAATTTTGCTCTTGGCTGCCCACGTTTCTATCACGACTACCTCGACTACACGGACCGCATGGTAGATGCTCTGAACCAGCACGGAGAATAGAACGGAGAATGGCAGGCGTTATTTAAGCTGC